GTCTTTATGTCAATGGCTTATTTCACTTAGCATAATATCCTCAAGGGGCATGCATGTTGTCACATATTACAAAATTTCCTTCTTATTAAAGGCTGAAATATTCCATTGTGTATATATATATATATACATATATATATATATATATATATATACACACCATATTTTCTTTATCTGTTCATCTGCAGGTAGACATTTGGGTTTTTTCCACATCTTGGCTATTGTGAATAGTGCTGCAGTGAACATGAGAGTGGGATCTCTTCAAGATCCTGGTTTCAATTCTTCCCATAAATACACAGGAATTGGATTGCTGGATCATATGGTAGTTCTGTTTTTAATTTTTTGAGGAACCTTTATATTATTTTGCATAGCAGCTGCATTCCTACCAACAGTGTTCAAGGGTTCCAATTTCTCCACATCCTCACCAATACTTCTTATTTTCCATTTTTTTTGATAGATATCATCCTCTATCAAATGACATTTTGAGTTTGATTTGCATTTCCTGATGATTAGTGATGTTGAGAATTTTTCCCATACCTGTTGGCCATTTCTATGTCTTTTTGGATAAATTTTTGTGCTTTTAAATATTTTCATGTCTGTTGAAATTCTCACTTTGTTCATGCTCATAAAGATGCTCTTGACTTCAGTGAGCATCTTCATGAGAGTTATTTTTAATTCTCTATCAAGTAAATCATGTAACTCTATTTCATGAGAGTTGGTCTCTGGCATTTGTCTTGTTCCTTTGTTTAGAACATCTTTGCCTGGTTCTTTATTTTCCTTGACTCTATGTGTTCATGTCTGTGCATTAGACAAAGAAGGCACCTCTGTCAGTCTTCACAGGCTTGCCTTGTACAGAAGACCCTTACCAATCAGCCCTGCCAGAGATTCTAGGAGACTCTACTGACTCTTACCCTCCCCAGGGAGAATCAGGCAACTGTGGTTTTTGTCTGCTTGCTCTGTGCTGATCCAGAAGGTGGAGCCATGGAATTCACTAGTCCAAGCCATTCTCAGTGGAGAACTGTCTCCATTCTCCCCTGAGCAGCTAGACTGTGCCAGATCCATCAGAGTGTTACTGAAAGTTTGGCACTTGGTCTTGAGGCCTCATCAGAAGACCCAAGACAAGTGATTTGAGGAGAGAGAAAGAGAAGCTTATTAATTTGCTAGCAAATGAGGAGGATGGGAGACTCTTCCTAGAGTGCCATCATCCTATGTATAGGTAGAAATACAGGGCTTTTAAAGGGTGTTTTCATCTTGGGACTATTGCTTTTAACTACAGTTGATGGTCCTGATCTACCCCATCTCCTGCAAAGTGAAGACAATCTCCTGACCTCTGCCCGGACAATTCTATTGAGCCATCTCATATGGTATAAAAAAAACAGGGAATACTCCCCTGTCCTTCTGATTACTATTCTTGGACAGGGATGCAGGTTTTAATTCCCCAAAAGGGGGGGTGGTTTAAAGAGACAACTCCTAAACCATTTTACCCCTTTTCAGGCCCTTCCCCCTGTTACAAAAGCTTCAAGACTAGAGAGAGAGATGCTAGCTCTTTGGGCAGCCCTGGACAAGTTGGGACATTGGAGGCATGGATCAACTCTTTCCCTCTCCAGTGGGAAGATGAGGGATGGGATTTTTCAATCTGTGGAACTGTGTCATTTGTGCTTGTAATGAGATTTTCATGGGATTAGCCTGCCCTGCATCTTTCCCTAGTTACCTTCCAGGATCAGGACACTGCTTAGAACTATAGTACGTTGTTGTGAATAGATCTCTTGGAACTACAGTACATGCAGTTCCATCTGACTTCTGCATTATGACTTGCTGCTTGGATTCTCTTGTACCATATCCAATTTGTCATTTCTAGTTCTTGGAACATTGTATAGGAAAAATGGTTATCTCTCTGACCATGGATAGGAGCTACAGTTTACAATGTGATTCTAGGCTATGACTGAACCTATTAGAGTGAGTTTGCCATGCCCATTTGACACTGTTTTGGATATTTTGGCTGCTGTCATTCAGACCAGCCTCTGCAGTTAGAAAAGTTTTCTTAGCCCACAATCAGAACCATAGTGTAGCACTCTGAATAGTCTTGGCTCATTTCTTCTCTCTCTGCTGTTTTATAGTTGTCTCAGTCCTGGCTTGTCACTTGTTCCAGTCCCTTCCCAATATAACCAGAATAGTGAAAAATATAGGGTTTCAAGTCAGAAAGCCTGAGTTCAAGTCCTGGCTTGCTACTTTCTATTTGTATCACCTTCAAGAAGTCACTTCATTTTGTTAAATCTTAGTTTCCACATCTTATACAGTAGATTGAAAATTAAGTGAGAATGCATATGAAAATGATTTCAGACTGGAAAGCATTATACAAATGTTAATTTTATTGTCATTTTTGGTTCTTTTCTCAATAAAAAAGTTGCATATAATCATTGTGACTTTGAGCAAAATCTTGAATTGAGCCTGGCAGGTCTTTGAGCTGCTTTGGCTTTTGAATGACTGGTTGAGCTGAGGGAGGTCACAGGGAAAGACTTGGCAGGACTGTTGATAGATTTTTCCATGTTGTAGCAGAAGCTTTCTTCCTCAAGGACAGGGTAAATATTTATTTCCTATTATACTGTACCTACAATGCTGTCTACCTAATCAGAATTAATTGATAGTGTTTTAACACAGCTGCCTCAATAGAGTGACCCCCCTAGTTTTAACTAGGGTGAATCTCATTTAAATTAAATTGACTGAAATCATGTTGTAAATCATAGTTTATTTCAGTAGCCAGGAAGATAATTTGATCATTTTTTTCAAAATATGCAGTCTTGCTTGACATAACCTTAATACAGCATGTTGTCTTCTCATTTCAGGAGTAGACTGCATTTATAGAAGTCCTTTTCTGAGCTTTTCCCACAAGCAAATCTCCCTTTGATAGTGTAATTCTCAACCATTCAGCTACGTGATCTCCACTACTTACCCAGCTTTGCTGACTGCATTTTATCCTAAAGGACTGCAATGCTGTCCTCACCTCAGCTGGTGTCAATCAAGTTGCTCAACTGCATGACATTGGAAATATGTTTTGAAAGGACCAGAATTATTTTGACAAAAATGAGTTATATAAAATGTTAACCACTCAAGAGAACATTCACATATCAAAATTAATGTCTTCATAGTATCATATACTATGTAACCAGAAATTATAGTTGGTATTCTGTAATAACATTTAGGATTTTTAAAAGAAGGAACTCAAAAATTATATTGGGTTTTTGTTTTATTTTCAAAAATATCTCTAAAATTGTTTTTAAGCAATATTTGGATTTTTTTTTTTTTGAGACAGGGTCTCACTTTGTTATCCAGGCTAGAGTGAGTGCCAGGCGTCAGCCTAGCTCACAGCAACCTCAAACTCCTGGGCTCAAGCAATCCTGCTGCCTCAGCCTCTGAGTAGCTGGGACTACAGGCATGATCCATGCCTGCTGTTTTTTTCTATTATATTAGTTGGCCAATTAATTTCTTTCTATTTATAGTAGAGACGGGGTCTGGCTTTTGCTCAGGCTGGTTTCGAACTCCTGACCTCGAGCAATCCGCCCGCCTCGGCCTCCCAGAGTGCTAGGATTACAGGCGTGAGCCACCGTGCTCGGCCAATATTTGGATTTTTAAAAACATAATCTTTAAAACTTCCATGATCCTGTTATCAATATTTTGGACAAGGGATATATGTCCCTCAGCCCAATACTTGCCTAATTTTATTAATAGAAAAGTCAACATATCTGATATTAGTCTTTTTATCAAATAATTTATAGGAGAAAGGAAGATAGGAGTTTTTCTTTTTATATATATCTTTTCACCTAAAGTGTTAAAAATATATGTAATTGTATTTTCCCTAATACCTCTGTTCATGTGGTGAGTACTGAAGATTCCATGTGCTGTAAAAAATATTTGAGTGAGTATATTTGAATGTAATTTGCTTTGTGAAGTCTTTGTTTGAATCTATTTTCTGATGTTTAACTAAAAATTTTTTGTAGCTGATTTATTGTTTGATGTGGGATTTCACTTGTTTATTATAGCAGGATAAAAAATCTGTTTATTTTAGCAACTTAAAAATCTTTTGGAAGGTGCTTTTATAGTATTCTTATGAATATTAATGACATTCTTGCTACTTTGATGCTCAGTAATGTTGCAAGAAATTAGAATGTAGCTTATGGAAACTTTTGTTATATGAGTTTGGAAAAAAACCCTCAATTTTGATAATATGAAGGACATCAATTGTGATCCTACATCATGCTTGGGTTTTTTATTTTTTATTTTTTGAGATGGTGGTCTCGCTGTGTTCTCCAGGCTGGTCCTGAACTCCTAGGCTCAAGTGATCCTCTTGCCTTAGTCTCCTGACTGGCTGGCACTACAGACGTGCACCACCACAACCAGCTAATGCTTGCGTTTTATGGAATTCCATGGCCTAGTAAGATTTAGCTATATAGAATCTGGAGCTCAGACTGTTTAGAAAACAGTGACATCATTTGTACAGATTCAATAACTGTTTAATGTTGTTGCTAATTGGGCATGTCATTTTTTTCTCACAAAGTAAGGTCAAGACTTCAGAGCCAGCATAACTTTGCTATGTCTGTCAAATGCTTGAAAGTATTAAGTATTTCAGTTTCACAGGGTACATATCCAAGTCTTCCTCAGAATTTCTACATTTTTAGTTTTGAATGCAGTATTAACTTCTATTTTGTGCTTTTAAGATTTCCTATAATAACATTACTATTTGTGAAGTCAATGCATTTTACTTTCTGAGAACGAGTAAAGATGATTAAGTTATAAACAAGTGACTCCAAGGAATACAGATTTTATTTGAAAATTGTACTCTAGCTTAAAGAAACTATCTCTAGTTTGGTTTTACTCTAAGGATCATTTCAAGTTCCTTCATGCTATATTCATTTGGCCAGTGACCTAGGAACAGGTTTCAAAATGATTTGCTACTTTTAGCCAATGGTGATAGTTCACAGCATGTTTATCATTCATTGTTATTTCAGAAATTGTTGAAAACCTGATTGGAAATGATAATTCACCTAGCATACCTGAGGCAATTGATACACTCTTCATGGATATAGCAAATATGAACAGGGAGTCTATGGCTGAAATACAGGATGCTCAGGTGGGTGTAAAAATAACTTTGTTTATGATAAGTTTTAATGATTCATCATTTTAACCAATGTACAAGTAAAAAAATTCTTCATGCTTAATCATTGCTAAACACATAGAAATCTATTTTTGGATTTTCAAACCTAATTTAGGGAAAATAAAGTTTTAGAAACCAAGGGAAAATATGTGCTCAAATTTAATATTTATTATTTAACCTCTCTAGGCTTCATTTTCTCATCTGTTAAATAATAATAATACCTATTTCCCAGTGTTGTTGTGAATAGTAAACACAATAACATATATAAGGTCCTGGATAGGTAGTAGTTAGTCACTAAATAATAGTTCTCTTTTCCTTCCCTTTGTAGCAAAGTAGAAAACTACACAGTAGTGGAGATTCAATTGAAATAAGCTTTCAGAAGTGCTTTTTTAGGGTGTAATTGTTCTAATGTTTAAATGAAAGTCTGTCATTTACTTAATGTGGAAATTGCCTTGAGGCTCTGAAACACTTTTGGGAATATTTACCTTGGGTAAATACTTCCATCTTGGTGACTGCTCATATGGAAAAATGAGAAGAAAGTTCACTGTAAATCTCTCCTCTTTATATATTTCATATATATGTAAAATATATATATTATATATTATATTATAGGCTTTATTCAAATAAAATTAAACTCATATACCATGCAATTCACCCACTTCAAATGTAAAATTCAATAGTTTTTAGTATTTCACAGCTAGTTGTATACCCATCACCACAGTTAATTTTAGAACGTTTTTATCACCCCAAAGGGAACCCTCACACCTATTCACTTCCATTTCCTCCCACTCCCTTCTTCCCTTGCTGAGGCCCTACGCAGCCACTAGTGTACTTTCAGTCTTTTTTTTTTTTTTGGGAACAGAGTCTCACTGTGTTGCCCAGGCTAGAGTGAGTGCCGTGGCATCAGCCTAGCTCACAGCAACCTCAAACTCCTGGGCTACTTTCAGTCTTTATGGATTTGCTTATTCTGGACATTTTATATAAATGGAATCATATAATGTGTGGTCTTTTGTGACTGACTTCTTTCACTTAGCATAATGTTTTCAAGGTTCATCCATGTTGTTTCATGTATCTGTACTTCATACCTTTTTATGACTGAATGATATTACATTCTATGGAAATGCCTTATTTTTTTTCTACTTTTCTTTTTCTTTTTCTTTTTTTTTTTTTTTGAGACAGAGTCTCACTCTCTTTCGTGGGCTAGAATGCTGTGGCGTCAGCCTAGCTCACAGCAACCTCAAACTCCTGGGCTCAAGCAATCCTGCTGCCTCAGCCTCCCAAGTAGCTGGGACTACAGGCATGCGCCACCATGACCGGCTAATTTTATATATATATTAGTTGGCCAATTAATTTCTTTCTATTTATAGTAGAGACGGGGTCTCGCTCAGGCTGGTTTTGAACTCCTGACCTCGAGCAATCCGCCTGCCTCGGCCTCCCAGAATGCTAGGATTACAGGCGTGGGCCACCGTGCCTGGCCCATTTTAATATTTTTAAAAATAATTTACACATTGAAAATTTATATAGCTATAATTACACTGTACAGGTAATGTTTTGGCATCATAAAAAACAATTTCCTCTCTTTTCCTGACATTTTATTATCAAAAATTTCAAACAGAAAAGGTGAAAGAACTTTACACTGAACACCTAGGGAACAACCACTGAGATTCTATAGCTGTAAACCTTTTACCGTATTTGCTTTATCATCACATAAGCATCTATTCATCAACCCATCTTATTTTTTGGATGCATTTCAAAGTGAGTTAGTGACAGTCAGTACACTTCCCCCCTAAATGTTTCAGCATGCATATCATTAACTAAAATCCAATATTTTATTAAAGTTCTTTTCTAAGGTAAAATTTACATATCTACAGTTTATTGTACATACAATTTTGTATCTTTTTCACTAGACATGTAAAACATTTTCCCATGTTAAAAACATATTTTTCATGACTACTATTTAATTTAATTTTCTTTTTTGAGACAAGGTCTTGCTCTGTCACCTGGGCTAGAGTGCAGTGGCATTGTAGCTTGCTGCAACCTCAAACTCCTGGGCTTGAACGATCCTTCTGCCTCAGCTTCCCGAGTAGCTGGGACTACAGGCATGTGCCACCATGCCTGGCTATTTTTTTATGTATATTTTTAGTTGACCAATTAATTTGTTTCTATTTATAGTAGAGATGAGGTCTCGCTCTTGCTCAGGCTGGTTTCGAACTCTTTGACCTCGAGCGATCCTCCTGCCTCAGCTTCCCAGAGTGCTAGGATTACAGGTGTGAGCCACTGCGCCCAGCCTAACTTTTCTATTTTTTGTAGAGAGGGAGTCTTGCTCTTGCTCATGCTGGTCTCAAACTCCTGACCACAAGTGATCCTTCTGCCTCCGCCTCCCAAAGTGCTAGGATTACAGGCATGAGCCACTGTGCCCAGCCATAACTACTATTTTAAATGGTTTAATACAATTCGATCAAAGGGATTTATCATAATTCAACTATTTATTATTAGCTATTTATATTGTTCCTCATTTTTTACTATTATAAATAATGACATTAGGAGCACTACTAAGTTCAAAGATTATCCCTCTACACATTTTGGACTATTTCCTTAGGATAGAGTCTTAGAAGAGCAATTATTATTATTATTATTTTTTTTGAGACAGAGTCTCACTTTGTTGCATAGGCTAGAGTGAGTGCCGTGGTGTCAGTCTAGCTCATAGCAACCTCAAACTCCTGGGCTCAAGTGATCCTTCTGCCTCAGCCTCCCGGGTAGCTGGGACTACAGGCATGCGCCACCATGCCCGGCTAATTTTTTATATATATATCAGTTGGCCAATTAATTTCTTTGTATTTTTTATAGTAGAGACGGGGTCTCGCTCTTGCTCAGGCTGGTTTTGAACTCCTGACCTTGAGCAATCCGCCCGCCTCGGCCTCCCAAGAGCTAGGATTACAGGCGTGAGCCACAGCGCCCGGCCCTGTCTTCTTGATTATATTTGTTATTATTTGTCTTTTTGATTATGAGTATGAAGTGTTATCTCTTTGTGTTTGGTTTTTTTAATCATGGTAATATATATATATAATATAAAACCATCTTAACTATTTTTAAGTGTACGGTTCACTGGTATTAAGTATGTTCATGTTTTTGTGTAACCATTCTCCAGAACTCTTTTTATCTTGCAAAACTGAAACTCTATACCTATTAAACAATTCTACCTTGCCCCCTGAAATTAATATGAATTTTAGGATCAGCTTGTCAACCACCATTCTACTTTCTATTTCTGTAAATTTGACTACTCTCGGTACCTCATGCAAATAGAATTGTATAATAGTTGTCTTTTTGTGACCAACTTATTTCTCTTAGCATAATGTCCTCAAGGCTCATCCATATTGCAGCATGTGTCAGAATTTCCTTCATTTTTAAGGTTAAATAATATTCCATTGTATGTATGTACCGCATTTTGTTTATCCATTCATTTGCCTATTTGCCTATTGTGAATAATGCTGCTATGAGCATTGGTGTGCAAATATCTGCTCAAGTCCCTGCTTTCAATTATTTTGTATAAATATCCAGAAGTGGAATTGCTGGATCATATGGTAATTCTATTTTTAATTTTTTTTTTAGACAGGGTCTTGCTAAGTTTCCCAGGCTGGCCTTGAACTCCTGGGCTCAAGTGATCCTCCCATCTCAGCCTAATGAGTAACTGGATTATAGGCACATGCCACCAAGCCTGGATTATTTTTAATTTTTTCAGTAACTGCCATACTGTTTTCCAAAGCGGCTGCACCATTTTACATTCTCATCAGTAGTGCACAGGGTGCCAGTTTCTCCACATTCTTGCCAACACTTGTTATTCTCTGTTTTTTTGATAGTGGCCATCCTAGTGAGTGTGAGATGGCATATCAGTGAGGCTTTAATTTGCATTTTCCTGATGGCTAATGATGTTGTTGAACATTTAAAATTTTTTTTTAACTTCAGTATATTATGGGGGCACAAATGTTTAGGTTACATGTGTTGCCTTCCTCCCTTCCCCCCCAGAGTCAGAGCTTCAAGTGTGTTGATCCCCCAAATGGTGCGCATTGCACTCATTATGTATGTATATGCCCATCCCTCCTCCCCCCTCCCATCTGTATGATGCCTGATAAATGTTATTCCTATATGTGCACTTAGGTGTTGATCAGTGAAACCAATTTGCTGGTGAGTACATGTGGTGCTTATTTTCGTTGAACATTTTTTTAATGTGCTTATTGGCTATTTATATATATCTTTTTGGAGAAATGTCTGTTAAGATCGTTCACCAATTTTTATTTTTATTTATTTATTTATTTATTTTTGAGACAGAGTCGTGCTTTGTTGCTCAGGTTAGAGTGAGTGCCGTGGAGTCAGCCTAGCTCACAGCAACGTCAATCTCCTGGGCTCAAGCAATCCTGCTGCCTCAGCCTCCCAAGTAGCTGGGACTACAGGCATATGCCACCATGATCCACTTTCTTGATCAAGTAGAATCTTCTGGAGTTATATTTTATAATTCTCTATCAAGTAATATGTAATGCTATTTTGAGGATCTAGATCTGTGATTTGTTTGTAATTGCATTGTTTTAGAGAATATTTTGCTGGATCTATTTTTATCTTGAGCTTATGTGTTCATGTATGTGCATATAGAAGATAGGCATAATCTGTCAGTCTACAGGCTTGCCTTGATACGAGGAGAAATCTTACGAATCAGCCTGCTAGAGATTAGGAGAGCTGATTACTGAGTGAGATCTGTACTCCCCAGGAAGGAGTCAGGCAACTGTGGTTTTTTGTCTGCTTCTGTGCGTGATCAGATGTGGACATGGATTCATAGTCCAGAGCCATTCTCCGAGTGGAGAACTGTCTCCATTCTCTGAGCAGATAGTGTGCCAGACCTCAGAGTGTTACTGGAAGTTTGGCATTGGTCTTGAGGCCCTCAATCAGAAGACCAAGACAGTGATTTGAGGAGAGAGAAAGAGAAG